TTATTTTCCCGAATTGTTTGTAGGGATAATCCACTCTATAATGAGAATTCTAAAACTGAAATTCTATCCTGACTGCCGCCATACTGAAACTTTCAACTCAACGGATATTGCACTTTAACACTTTTCGAGAAAACGGTGGAAAAAAAACATTTACAGCCCTTTGCTCATGAAACACGATTTCTTCAACAGTACTCCCATTTCCCAAAAATCAGTCAATTGAGTGATCGTTGGAAATCACCCTATATTTCTTGATATCTCCTAAATAACAGCAAACCAGACGGGAGAATTCCACGGGGTGTTTAGTACCAGTGAGATCTTTAATCCAAGACAAGATTTTCGATTATCATTCGGTAGTTTGCTTTTGGGATAAATACAAAAAATCTGATATGCCTGTGAGCTCTTTTGGAAAGGTTGAGGTCATTCAATTTTTCTTTAGAATTTCCCGACACGATATGGAATATCAACTGCTGTTTCAAGGGGATCGCATATCGGCATTTCATATACCGCGTGCTCTTTGGCGCGCTTCTCGGTCTCACATCTTCGTCTGATCTCTGGCGGGATACCTCTCCTAAATAACCAGATAATAAATACCACACAAGGGATCGGGTTTAACGAAGAATAATTCGATTAAGCCACGGAGGCTGACGCGGAGTGCTTTGGAGTCAGTGTCTGCATTTGTCATGTTGCTAAAAAGGTTCTCTATCATGGTGGCATATGGGAATATATTCTGTGACCTACAGAAAGATATGAATTGAACGGAAAAAATTGACTCTTTGGCGTCTAGACTAGTTAACGCATGACCAGGCCTATGTGAATCGCTAAGTCATCGATAAACATCTTCAGTTGGCCAAGTCTGTTTCTGTAGCCTCCTCTTGAATCAGATATTAAGCTCATTCAAAACCACAGAGAACGATAGAAAAGAGCGCTGGACACTGCTGGCAGGACAGATTGATTAGCTGATTAATGTGCTTCGCAAAAATTAGCCGAGAGCCAGCCACGAGCATAACAGATTGAATGATATTTTATCTGGCAACCTGTGCTTACAACGCAAACATTTGAGCTAAGCAAATTTCTTGATGTAGCAGCACAATGAAATCTGCAAAACCAAGACGCTACGCCCTCTGATTGTCGACCTTGTCATATCATTTATAGGCATTGCCACTTTTTGACTTAACCGATTACCTCTTATTACGCCATTTGAATTGTCGACTTTGAGCGACCAGTCGATTGTCTGCACTGTCACCCTTGTTTCATATCACAATCGACAAAAAGTAGTGAAACTCGTCACACCAAAGAAAGTTTCCAGCCCGCAAAAGACATCGTGGTCTAAATTTATCAGCACCTACGTCATTGATTAGCCTAAAAGTCTCCGGGCAATGTCGTGACGCCTGCTTCACAGAAGAAAAACAGGAATCCTTCACTGGCAGTCCCAAGTTACCATGGAGACAGGAAGTGGGAGGCTATACAAAATACACCAGCGAATTTAAGCGTGGTTCGGACACTAATAACATGACTCTTGTAGCGGTTTCTATGCTCGTCACGTTTCTGGGTTTTTTGTTCTTCTTCTTTTGATAAGCTGGTATTGAGTCACATAATACTTGAAAATATGCGCTTTTAACGTCCTTGGAGCCTCGCTATTAAATTTCTTCCCCTTGGTCATCAGAAAATTACTTTTGATGAAATCGACTCCGGAGTGATTCTTGCAGTCTGTTGTGGCTTTCTTCATGGTTTGTTGTCTTATCATAAGTTGTTCGATCTGCTTGAATCCACCCGGGGGGGCTCTGCTCACCCTTAGCGAAGAATCTCCGCTGATACACGGAATGAATGCGTAACCAGTTTGAGTAAATGTTTCGAATCAGCAAGAGGCAGTGGCGTATCCAGCTTTTGATGTGGGGGGGGGGGAGACCCCACTTGCCCATCCGCTCTGAAATGTAGACATGTTTTTCTCTCCGGCACTTGCCCTCCGTAAAATCAAAAGTGGGGGGGGGGGGGCTACCCCGTCTTCCAAATGGGAGCGCTCTTCAAAACTGACAATTATTATGCATACTGGAATATAAATGCCGATATTCACTGCGCATATTGTTTTGGAGCTTGGTTTACTTTTCTTTTTCAATGTCAGAACTCTCTAAGCATTGTGAAATAGTTACTGAAAATATCTTTCACAAAAATCCGCCGGGGGGAGGTGCCCCCTGCACCCCCCCCCCGGATTCTCCGCTGGCAAGAGGTTTTGTGCATGTGTACACGCCGTTAAATAGGCATTACAGACTGAAGCCCCGAATATTTATGTTTTGGATTGATTGCTTATCCTATTTTAAAGGTCTGGTTGAAAGAAAACTAAACCTTATGTCTTACCGTTCCCAAGAAAAGACGCGAGGAAAAAGCAGTTATTTACACAGGACATGTTAGGCCCCTACTCCTATTTTTAGCAATTTGACGCCGAAGGATAACAACAGACGTAGCTCGGAAATGTGTCAACAGCTTGAAAATGTTGCTATACACTGCACACATTAATGTTATTTCAAAAGCCAATTACTGCTATAATCCGAGTTGAAGTTTGACATTTCACGTTGGCCTAGAACGTCTGGCCAGGTTGTCATCGCTACATTCCCGTCAACCTTAGCTACACCTTCCTTCCTTCCTGAAACTGTCTGAACCAAAGCAAAATATCGTATTCAGAAGCAGCTACTACACCATGTGTTTGATTGGCCGTTTTCCTCTAAACACAAAAGGCACGTTGGAACTATAACGAGTTCAGGATGCTGATCTGAGCGTTCAGAAGTGTACACAATAACTCCGTTGCTATTTGCGTGAACCACGGAACGTACTGTAATTAAACGCCATCGTCTTGATTAAAGGGCTCACAGAATGAATTTTGCGCTGGCGCACAGTTTGAGCAAATAACCATGCCTCGGAATTATATTAAATAAAAATGCGACATTCTATCTAAGTTTTAATTACTTTAAAAGTACATTTTTTACCCTTTCCTGACACTTGAGAGCGCCGTTGGCATGACGTCACTTTGTGCTTGTATATGCTTCGACTGGGGTTACAGAGGAATTTAACTAGTTCGTTTTGCTTGAAACCAACAAATACTACCCGTGGGAATAAAGCTGATAGATGGGTGTTATCCTGTATACCTGTGTTGGCAAGCACTTTCGTGACTCGCGCAAAACAATGCTGACTATACTGCTGTCAGACCTATTCAAAAATTCTAAAAGAATCTTGCTGTTAAAGCAATTCCGCAATCACTGTGTCTTACATGCACGGTAAACTGATATATTTTTACTCTGTTATCAAAATCCTGCTTCCGTGGCACGTCCGAGATACATTAACAGTGGCACTATAGCAATACGCACGTGGTACTCGTGTCTGTGTACCCGCGACAAGTAAACAGTTAGCCTCCTTTCCAAAAAAAGCCATTTTGTTTAGCTTGCTTTTTATCGTGGGCCACTCAGACCATCTTCAGCGGCGGGGCAGACACGCTCGGCCCGGGAGGAGGCGTCCTCAGACCCGGTGCTAGTTGCAGCTGAACGTGAGGTCAGACAAAAGACATTTCCTTCCTTCGCATGATCAACACCAAACCATCAAACACGTTCAGAAAAGGTACCAAGCCCACTTATGATACTATGTTTTGTCCCTGTGCATTGGGCACTCAAAATTTGAACTTCAATAGTTTCTTGTTCTCCTTGCCCTTTCGCATCCCGACTCGATCTGGCCTTTTTGTTTTGCTGTTGTGGCTCATGTATTAGTTAAGGTCGCCTTTGCGAAAGGTTGGTATATTCGTGTGAGTTACTTTTGGAGGAAGCTCTACATAAGGACCATTGGTCGACTAGTGGGTGATTCTTGAGGTATGTTATCACGAAGTTTCTCGGCCCTGGCTCCTTGCTGCATGTACAATAACTTAAGATGCGCATGGCTGATGAACCTCGACTGCAACCATCCGCGTTGGCTGGTTCTCATTGTCGACTAGAGTTGGCCAACCGTTGACTGCTCTATGTTCCGACACCCCTATGTTCCGACAACCCGCACATAAGATTGTGTTACTCCTGGTTAAGGTTAGGGTTAGAGTTGGGGTTAGGAATAGGAATATGTTCAGTCGGAACATAGGGGTGGCAAAACATAGGGGTGGCGGAACATGAAGGTGTAACCGGCCAACCATTGTCGTCGTAAAGATACGTTCGATCAGAAATGGCTTATGGTATTATTGAACCATAGTTCAAAAACAGTGCTCACGTCATTACCTGCGTCAATTGACCGGCGAATTTACGCGGGAAGCAGTTGTAACTGACACCAAACCTACGCCGTACTAAGAAATGCGACAGCCTGTGGGTACCAGACTAATTGTGAATAATTTGCAGAATCTATCGGAGAGGGAGAGTTAAAATGACCTGAATGTAAATAGTTCTCCGAATCTTCAGAGGAGCCTCTTTCAAAGTTTTATTTTGACTGGGCGCTTACCACAGACATTTCCGAATTGCACTTGGTCACGTATAGGATTCCATTCGCAGGTTCACAACACTCGGTGTAAGACGCGGGTCGGTTGATATCGCAACGAACAGCTGCAACTTGGAGTTGTGTCAATCTTTCCTGTAACCCTTTACCACCTGCTTGTGACCCAGGTACGTACATCAGCCCTGCGGTCCACACACGACGATTACTAATATCGACGTTGGTGTAAGCCGTTTCAGCCGAGGTAGCATTACCTTACACAGTCATTTTGGCCTAACGTTTGATTGCCTCTCCCAGCTATGTTTACTGTTCTCCGTCGGATCGTACAGTGTATGCGTTGGGTAAGCGATTCCGTTGAATGTTTGCTTTTCACTCGCAGTAGCGTCGTCGAGGTTCGCGCACGCGATTTATTTTTAGGTATAGGCGATTCGTTTGGGGGAGATTTCGCAGCTCTTCCGCGTGTCCAAGGGACCGCACAATTCCCGCGAGAGTCCGTCAGATTAATCATTATGTTTACTTGAGAAGAACGAAACTTCCTTTGTTAATTTCAGATCGGAATCTTGGGTGGTTGGTCGTCGTGGGATCTGGCTGTGGAGTGGCTGAGAGGGAAAGATTTAACTGTTGTGACTGAACTTGAAGCTGGAAGCACGGGGCATGTAAGACTGATTTTCTGTTGAACACTTTTCCGGAGTTTGAGCTGCTGATGATCATCGCTTCTCGCATTCCTGAACAAGGCGCAGTATTGTACTCAACTTGCTGAAAATCGATGGTGAGTCATCTTTAATTTTGAAGTTTCATTCCAATTTTGTTTACCCACTGCATGATGTTTGTTGCTGACTTTAATATTCAGCTTAACAGCTGTCAGCTGAATACTTCTCTTCAAAGTATCTGTTGAGAAACTTTGGTTGATTTTTTTTTTGTACACCCTTTCAACCTTTGATAGACACTCAAGATGCATCCAAATTGGCATGCATTCTCTATCGGACAATGTAATGCAAACAAACCTATAATGTACCGGGACACCTATATTTGTCTTTTATTTCAAGATGAATTTGACAGAAAGCCGGGATGATTACCATACAGTATAGCCCAACCACTGAAAAAAAGTTTGTAGCTGACTAGTGATTTCATCATGACTTGTTTCTTAAGGATATTTAAATAAAAGATTGCCTCTTGACAGTGACTGAATCTTCCTAATGGAGCGTGATTTAGGTACATAAAATCATGAATGCTACTCACATTGAAGCAAAGCGTAGTCATCCTCAAGAGATGGCCAGAGACAGTGCGAGCAGAATGTGAATTCTGCAATTGAAATGTCAGAGGGTGGCTCATGGGACGGATGAGCTGATGCCATTTACACTGACGTCGACATTGCTGCTTAGTGCCATCGACGCCTCGCGCCCCCTCCGGCGATTCATCATTTTTCTCCCCCGAGAAAGTTGGTTGTCCCGTCCCCTTCCGATTTGAAATGCAGAGTTGTCTTGTCCAGTCCATTACAACTCGGACAGAAGTCGAATAGCAGCATCCCAAGTCAATAAGTAAGGTTACGGGTAACGTGGGAGGAACAATAGCAAGCGGATGCCTTGGTCATAGTCTACATGTATTTGAATAGCTTGGCACTTGACTGTCGAGACTGGATGACTTGTGATTCACTTACGATGACTTTGTGAGGACTTGACTACAACCGAGGACGGACCAGTGTTGATTATTAAGATATTGGGAAAAATCCGTTCCCCGAATAACCTAATCACTCAGTAAGGCAAATCTTGATTAATTGCTTCAGGCCTTGGTCTTCTTATGCGTTGACCGCAACTTTAAATCCTCATCCACCCATCCACCACACCCAAAAGTCTTGGACTACCTATAGCCAACCCATTTATATAAATCAGGGTATAGGCCTACAACTCTTGTGAAACGCCTTTCGCAATCTTCTACCGCGTTTGGTTCATCATCATCATCATCATCATCATCATCATCATAATCATCATCATCATCATCGTTCTCAGCCGTTATCTGCTCACTGCAAGGCGAAGGCCTCCCCAAGCTGGTGCCGATTGGTCCTGTCCTGTGCCGCTCTCATCCATGACTTTGTAATGCCCGTGAACTTTCAATCTCATCTCTCCATCTTGTTTTCTGTCTTCCCTGACTATATGGAACTGTCTCCCTTGGTCTCCATTCCCTGCACAGCTTTTTCCATCTGTTGTCATTTTGATCGGACCATGCATTATGTCCTGCCCACCTCCATTTTCTCTTGTTAATAATGTTTTATGATGTCTTGTACTTTTGTTCGCTCTCTTATCCATTGACCATTTTGTTCCTGTCCTTTTTAGTGATTCCCAACATGCATCTTTCCATACTTCTTTGTATTGTTCTAAGCTTCTGTTCCATGTTTTTAGTCATTGCTCATGTCTCTGCTACATAAGTCATTGCTGGTATTCAGTGGTCAAGTACTCTGCGTTTCAGACATAGTGGCATCTTGCGCTTCATGATGTCATTCATGTTTGGTTATACTTATACAGCTTCAAACCATATCTTTAAATGCTGGTATCGGTTGAACCGGGGCGTGTATAGGACCTTTCATCAATAGTGTATACATGCACCTGCCTACTGTCAACAATACAGGGTGAGTAAAAAAAAAAAAAAAAAAACGAAACCCACATGTCGGAACTATTGTTTTAGTGAAGTTCTGCATGTAGCAATTTCAAAATCAAGGATATAAAAGCCCTATGATTTGTTTTCGTTTTGCTGAAAGAACGCACACCTTTTCTGTGATCCGTCGACAGAACTTGAAAACGGTTCTGTTTAAAATTCCGTAACTTGAAAAGTACATGGGTGACTTGAATGGTTCTTGTACTAAAAGAAAGCTTATGAATTGGGCTTTCATGCCCTAGATTTTGAAAGTGCTACATGCAGATCTTCACTAAACAATGGTCCCGACATTTGGGTTTCGTTTTTTTTTACTCACCCTGTAGAGTCTATATAATCCACATCACGCATGTATGGATATAATGGGTGTGATCCGATAGCCAAGATATCCCGCATTATTCCCTCGTAATCTGAGCAAAACCAAACAAACCTCACGTAACTTCGGTAGTTTCTTAACTCAGGCGATTTCATCAGTGCCTTATCGCTGTCAAGTATATTTACCAAAGCAAACGGTTTGTTATCATAGGTGATAAAGACACGTAAGTCTTATTTAGATTATAGATCATATTTCTTCACATATTGTGTTGCGAATATCGTAAGCCATCATTTTCATTTGAATAACTATAGACATACAATTGCTGTATCTTTAAGAGTTATACATGCATACCATAAACTTACAAGCTATAAGAATAATAAACACGAAGTGGTAAACGTGTAAATGATTGTGTGGTTTAATACTGAAATTGAAATGTCGTCATCGTCAATTGAAATATCGCAACTTGAACTCCCCTATTGAATCTGTTAAGGCAAACGTGTCATAGAAGAATCGCAATAGCACATAGATGGAACGGCGAAGTTAAAGTCACGGATTGAGATGATATCAAGAGTTTTATGTATAGCAAAGTTTACCTTTTTTACATAGCTTTGAACAGTTGCAGTTCAACAACAATGACTTTGGACACAGTGTCAACTGCCTTTGCAATTTGCGATCATGCGGAAATGTTTCTAGTCGGCTGCAAAGACGACCGATGCGTTCTTAATTAAATTATTTCCCAGCTGACGACAAATTGATCCTGAAAATACCTGCACTTCAGCACAAAATATGCCGGCGGCAATTAGTATAAAACGGGCAGCTGAAACTACCGATTCAGTCTCGGACTGAGCCTGTCGGGCTAACGGCCTGAAATGAATACTAACTAACATCGGACACAGAGTAGCATTTTCAACAGAGGAATGGCGTAGAATTAAGCACCACAGCAGTGAAGCAACGAGGGTAGAATACTGTTTAGCAGATCGCACAAATCTCAAAGCGACAGTGCGTCATAAATGGAACTGCAAACTGTGACACTGTTTGCAACATAGAATGAGGCAAATAATATCAACACATCGACCGCTCTAACAGAAATAAATATAATTTGGGAAAATACAACTTCTGATTGAAAAGTGTTCAGCATGCAGACAGACGTAAGGATATGCAGATATGGAGTAATACTTAGAGCAGATTTTAAACACCCAAAGTGATTGACATAGTATCATACGACGAAAGGTAGTACTGCTGCAGAAACACTAAACAAACACACTTTGTACCAAAATGTTACGTGTATAAAATAATATGTGTATGTTATACAACACATACAAAGCACAACGGGTAAAGTTCGGGAATTGAACGTAATGCAACGAAGAAAGGCACTCATTCAAAAAAGCAGCACTTGGCACGTAATAATAATGGCCAGAGTATCAGGTGTGTAGCTGCATATAACAGACTAACACAGCAATTAAAATAAATCAGCATCAAATGCGTAATGAGGACATTTTGATTTGGGGTAACAAAAAACGGGCACATTGAGCGTCGCTAGATCATCCGTGTTGAAAGATAGACAGTTTTTTTTTCTTCACTTTTCACCGGTCACCCGGCCTCCGTAAAATAAAAAACAAGCTTGGGATGTGGGGGTGTGGCAGGACACCATCCTTCCCTATGGGGCGCTGTTCAAAGTGGACGTTCAAGGGCACTGTCTGAGAATAGGTGGCGCACTTCATGGCGGCACATTTTGCCGACGTTCGTGTGACGTAAAATAATAAATAGCCACTCGCGAAAAAAGGCACTCGTGAAAATGAAGGCCAGTCGTCAGAAAATATAGGATGGAGGAAATCCCCCTTAACCCCCCCCCCCCCCACCCACCCACCCTCCGCCGGATTCTACTCAACTGACTAGTAATTGTATAATGGGGATTTATTGTGCTTACCGTAAATACCGTCAATTAAAACTGAATATTTCACCCATTGTCGTCCTCTCAGTATAAAGGTGCCTTCGGCGGTCCTATTTTAAAGCGCTTTCTCAAATTTAGATTATCCTCGCCATTTAAAACATCAATTAGTGATTAGGGACCACTACTTTCTCTACAGTGGCTGTCGATTTACTCATAGTTTCTGGCAAGTTTGGGGCAGGGACGCGCGCATGACTCACTCCAGTGGACCCAAATAATTAAACGAGAGGAGGAATGCAGGCGACGGTTTTTTATATCGGATTATATTTGGATGTGCGAAGCTTTAAAGTCAGGCGTTACTCGGCTGAGAAATCGAACGACTTCTCGGCATTTCCATTCTCGTATGCACCTGGCATGCCTTGGATCTCAAGGCGCTTTTAAATCATACACACACACTCGTTAGTTATTAATTGACGCAGGGGACACCTGCTACAGGTGACGTCACGTACATTCGCGTCACCGTCGACCTTAAACAGTATTAAGCCCCTTCGGTTTTCCAACTGCGCATGCGCTGCAAATTTTGTCAGTTTTGGTTTCGGGGAAAAACATCCGCCGTTTGTGTGCAGAATAATAACAAAGCTGAGGGTACCAGCAAAAGTAAAGGAAAGTTCTTACTTTGAAGTAAGCACATTTTTTTGAGTCCCCACTTCTATGCGGAGTGTTCAATTTTCATCGCAGATTCGATTACCGTTGACCCCTACATACCTACTTTTTCAAATGTCGATTCGACTTAAAGATTCGTGGTTCAAACATTAGTGTTTACATAAAGATGGAGATATTTGAGGTGAAAGGAGGAATGTAAAAGTGCATGGCCATTGTCAGCCGTCGCCTGTCGCACATGGACGGTATTATAGGGAAT